ATAGCCGGATAAAGTTGTGAATAACATGAGTAACACGCTCATTTTTGATATTGCCTGAAGTATGGTGCATAGCGCAATGCAGGGGCAGATTACACGGTCAAAACTGTGTTTATTTCGGCTGAATGTTTCCCCCCCCCCCCCATAAATGTGAAAGGCTTTGCATGATGGTTGGATGAAAATCGCTCTTGTTACCAGCTAGCCTTTTCGTTCAGTGTGTAATACATGGATTCCAGGGTTAGCAGGATTCGTAGTTAGGGCAAAAACAGGGCTCATCCCAGAAAAAGTGAGTCGAACTACTTGACGACTTCTTTGCACACTTAGTTGAAGATTTACTTCCAGAAGGTTCGAGACATCGCATAGCAAAATACCACAAAAATACTTTATCAAATTACAATGGAATAAGTCCAAATAATCAGCTCCATTGGTGAAATAATGCACGTGTACAGCAGTTACGAGCTTAAATGGTAATACATTCAAAGAAAATGCCTTCAAGGAGTCTTCAGCAACCTAAACTACAAATTTCGTTTTCGATTAAAAGGCAGTTAGGTGGGACACCTTTACTTCACGGGTCATGGGAAACACTATCTCTAGGGGGGGGGGGGGGGGTAACATTGGGTGGAATGATGCTTCGGCACCGCGTAGTCCTTTTCATCCTACGTCCTAGTCCTAAAACTGAGCGTTACCTTAATTCATAACCCGTGAGATCAAGCTGTCCCACCCAACTAAGTTTGCACCGGCAATCGTTATCCAAGAATAATAGGCGACAAAGGTGCAAGAAAAGTGATCTGCTCCTGCATCGGATCCCAATCACTATTGATGAGATTGCTGCGACATCCGAAGAACACCCACACCACCAAACATCGTCTAGAAATGTCTCGATTGTTAATGGACACTCAGAAAAGTCACAGTTCGAATGAAAATGCAGGTAATTCCACCACAAAAGGCAACTAACCGCTCATTCATGCGGCTATGAATTATCCACTGATTTTCCTCGGGATCAAAAACTTCAACGGTGTCCAGTCGGTAGAACCATTATACCCACCAACCGCGTATAGCCTTCCGTTGACAACGGCCAGCGCTACCTGTAACGATACCCTATTTTTTAGTTTTGCCTGAACATATTAGAATGCACGTAGAATAAAGTGAGCTCACTCACACCCTATCGTTTCTCGTTCATGTCAGCCACTGCGGTCCACTCGTTGGTACGGGGGTCGTATTTTTCAACTGAACTTAAATATTCGAGTCCACCAATCCTCCTGCTGCATACAAGTGCCCATCGAACGCTGCAGACCCCAAATAGCCTCGACATGTTGTCATTGGACGAATGTGCTCCCACTTTCCCACTCGTGGGTCGAATCTAAAATATGGAATGTTACATTCTTAATTCGCATTTTTTGAATCGATGGCATCAGGCAAGTAAGGCGCTTACTGAATGCAGAGTAAACTCAAGCTGATGCATGCTATGCATTTTCCAAGCATTGATTCCAACTATCGGGATTTCATATCAACCTCGGTAATAATGCACCTCAGACAGAGTCACCGTCCGTTGTGCTGATTTAAAGTTCCCACAAGCCCACTCCTATCATTTTCTCGATACAACCCTCACCCGTCCCCTATCTCAGCTATTCATGCATTCCAGTGTATTCGTGCATTTAGAATCGATAGAATGATTTTCCTATACTATCCATGCGTCCACGTCGCGCGCTTTGTATTGGTATTGTTGTCCCTTTCCCATAAAAGGAGGGAAAAGAATGCGACGACAGCTTTCTATTTTCAAAAGCATCACTTCCTTCGGAAATGATATTGCGCAACAGTCACGTAATTTTTTGAAATTCCACGATTTTCTGCACCAAATTTTTCCCTTACTTTGGCAACTACCTTTTCTATGAGGTGTAAAACAAATTTCTGAGCAACTAGACATTTCTTTATTGAAGGATTATCTGGTCCTTAAATGCGGTTTTATGAATAATAAGGCTCTAGAAAACAAATCATTCTCTTACTATAAATTATGGAAACTTCCGTGAGTGTTTAATTGCTCGAAATATTGCCCTCTTCTGCTTTTCTTGTGAGCACGCGGGTTTCCAACCCTCTAGGGTGGTAACTCCCGTCGGATCATTTTTCATATAAATTTCTAAGGTTGAAAAGTACAACGAGACTAAATCTTCTGGAAAATGCTGAAGAAAGCTACTGTGAAGGATTACTTGTTCAAAAAGCAGTCCCGCAGGTTTTTCCCTTCACGCCTTTTTTGAAGCCGTGTACCGAAAACGAGTGTTTTAGACCTTCAGGCGCTCATGAGCTTCTTCAAAATTGTTCATCAAAAACGGAACTACACGAACATTTGTCCACAACAAATATTGATTTCTGCTAAAAATCTTCCCTTTGCTGGAATTTTTTACTGAAGATCAACCTGCCGAAACTACTTTTTGTGCACTTTGGCTTGATTGAATGCAAGCGTTCACGGAGTCTGTTTGCATGTGCTCACTGAAATATTAGCGATTTGCAGGAACCTCGGCTTTCGAACCGGTCGCGCCGTGCACTCGTTCATAGTCATGATTTACAGCGGCATTTGAATGTCACTCTTAAATTGGTATGCCGCGAAACTTTTGAATACTGACGCTGGTTCCTCCATTTACGACCCCTTCCGTTGGCCAAATACGACCATCCCCACATTGAACTTCGCACAACGGATGGTTGACCTGCTTCACGTTGACTAACCTCTCCACAGATGAACTCCAAAAACCTCCAACGGCGTATAAACAGCCGTTGAGCACAGAGACAGAATGTCCGAGTCGTTCTTCACCCATAGATGCTACGCTGGTCCACTGATTTCGGCGAGGATCATATCTGCAACAGTGAACATTCCAATATGGGGAGACCAGTCGTAGAATCAATGTCTACCGTTCAACAATATTCAGAGGTCCTGCATTACTCTGTCCGCCCACCGCATAAATGAAACCGTCAAGCGTGGCCACACCATGAAAGAGCGCCCGTGCGACATTGGGGCTACGTCACTCGACCATGCTTCAGTAGCGGGATCAAATCTAAAGCATTCCTAGAGAATTAAACATCCAAGATTCACTGTGTGTCCATATTGATGTTAATAATCAGCAAATCAGACTTTATTATAGTCCTTTTCATCTGCAAATGAGCATACCTCTCACTGCTTTTCAAACACAAAGCTCTATCACTGCCACCAACAGCGAAGAGAAAGTTGTCGAAGACAGCTACACCAACTCCATTCCTAGAGAAAACGTTCATGAGCATTAAGTAGCCTTAAAATGTGATGACCTTGCCTTTTCGTACTCATGGGAGCAACGCTCTGCCAAGCAGGATTTGATTCTCTTGGATCGAGGCGTTCCACGGAAGCTATGGCCTTACCATCACAACATCCTCCCACTAAAAGCTGTATGAGTTAAATATGATAAAACCAGACTCGCCTCCCAGCAGCCTTCGGGAACTCCCTTCCCCTCGCTACGCTAGCACCCCACCGTATTTCCCACTTACGAGCTCACCCAGAGTCCAGTGGGGCGTGCAGGCAAACTTTGAGTTACCCCCCCCCCCGATATTACGTATAAACCCTAAGCGTAGCTGTGTAATTGCGTACTGCGAGGTGCACCGTATCCCCACGCCTAATTTTATTCTAGTTGTCAGCTTTGGATCGCGGCTAAACTCCACAAGGTTGGGGCTTGAATTAGTTTCCCTCGTCCCACGACGACCGAGTGCTAGCGTTATGCAGTGTCATCAATTCGTGCACGTGCATGATTTCGATTATCACACGGACGATATGATACAGAAGTTGGAAGTGTCATTACCTACCACGTTAAGAACTAATATTGCTACTGCTGCACTACACCACTACATAATGAGCAGTCGCCATTGTGGCACTATTACAACCCCAATGGGGTGAGATGAGTAAATTTTTTTCGCCGAAACTTGCTGTAGGAGGGTGATCAAGGCTCCCAATCACGAAAATGACATCCATTTTTTGACATTGGCGCCAATCGAATATGGGTACGATACTATTACTGTCCCAAAATCTCAAAAGTTCATTTTTCGTCGAAACTTTGCCTATAGGGGTAATTCGATGCCCTGATTACGAATATGACATTCATTTTTGATGCTGGCGCCATTTGGCGCCACTTTACCACGACGGCTGTTTTCACTTTGGTGTAAACTTGTATCAAGGGGTTATTTGGTGTGCTGAATACGAATATGACATTTGTATTTGCCGCTGACGCCATTTGGCGTCTTTTTTGCTCGTGCGCCCTCGCACTGTGTTGATGGCGGTCGCGTCTAATCTCTTCGCAAGGGAGAGCTCAGGAGGTAAGCAAACCAGCCCTTTTGGCGTTTCTGCTGGGGCCGTATGCTGAATGTTGGGGAGGGGATGGGGTCCCCGACGGTGGACGGACCACTTCAACTCGGTCCTTAGAACCGCCACAATTTGGTGCTTACCTCAGAACTAAGCCTTAAGAGAGGAGGACGGGTCCGTCCCCTCTCCAAGGCTTAGTCCTGGGGTGAGCAAACCAGCCCTTCTGGCGGAGCTGCTGGACTAGCTGCACCACTTGCGTCAGTCACTCTCCTACCGTACCGACCGAGTTGAAGTAGTCCGTCGACCTCGGGGACCCCATCCCCTCCCCAACATTCAGCATACGGATTCCAGCACAAACGCCAAACGGGCTGATTTGCTTACCTCAGAGCTCAGAAGTTAGTGAGTCACAGTCCCTGATATCACATACTCCAACTTTTGACACACGGTGCGTGGTTTACCACCCCCAGAGTCTCCCTTTCCCCAATAAACTTAGCTTTCGGCACTACATATAAGCCAGAGAGCACAGGAGAGCAGAAGACATGCGTTAGACAGCGCCACTCCAGAAACAATGTCATATTCGTAATCAGGACATCAAATAAGCCTTGTACAAAAGTTTACACCGAATTTCGTGAAAACAACCGTCGTGGTAAGGTGGCGCCAGCATTAAAAGTGGATGTATATCAATAATCGGCTCACAAAATGACCCCTATGTACAAGTTCACAGCGAACGCTCTCTCGCTTCATCTGCGGCAGTGACCAATGTGACCTTACACATTCTAACTTCAACCACCTCGGAGTCCCTTCCCTTCTTTAAGGCTTATCCCAGGGCGCTCACCTTCCTCTTTGGAATTTGGAGCCGAGCCAGGCGCCGTTCGTCTGCGCTCTCCGCCATTCGTGGCAAAACCATAGAAGAAAGTTCAAGTAGTAACGGCCCCTATGACTAAGCCTTAGAGTTGCAGACATTAGAGCATCGCACCGCCGCGTGCCCCCCCCCCCCAACAAGATAGCCCCCCAGTTTGATGTCTGAAGTCGGGAAAGTTCTTAATAAAGCAGTTAGCATTCCCTTCCGTAGACCCACAGCGAAATTAATGTCATTTCCCCTCCTTTGGTCCGAATAATATTAGGCGTGGGGTTACGGTAGCACCCCGCGGTACGCAATTACACAGCTACGCTTAGGCTTTATACGTAATATCCGCCCCCCCCTCGCGCCAGGGTGAATATCGGTCGAGGAATTCCTCGACGGGGGTCGTATTTGCCCCTGTGGAAGGCGGAGGGGGGTCGTAATTGTCGGTATCAGTATCGGACGAGGCGTGGTATCCAGTTTTGGGAGAAGTGGAAGGGAGCGTCTTCTCACCTAATCACTTGAGAATATAGGCCGTATACTAGGCCGAAACCAAATAGGGCTGAGTGAATCTAATTGTATCAGCGACAGCAAAGAGATGCGTACCTAATGCATTTCAAGAGGTTTCAATGAATTTCCTAGCAGTAATGTGGAAGAATCCGGTTTTTGAGTGAAGAAAAAAATTCCTCGACTTTTCCTCGACGCAGATTTCTCTTTAAGTAGGAAGTTTTCGAAACAAGTCAGGCACCATTTGAAAGAGCAATTCTTCTACTTTCCAAAACAATCCACACTTTCCGAACAATCGAGAATTAAGAAAGTTATCGTCTTGAAAACAGCAAAAATCGCATGAAATTTTGAGTTCCTCGACGTTTACTCGACGTGGAAAATCTCACTGAATAGGGCATCTTCAAAAGCAACTTCAGCGATAATTAGAAACTGCAATCGAAGCTCTTTCGAAGCACACCTTCACGCTCCAAAAGATTAAGTTTCGAGAAAGTTATTAAGGTTTGAAACATAAGGGGAGGAGGCAAATTTTCGATGATAAATCGCTCCACCGCGTGAGCCGCGCCGCAGCCGCGTGAGGGAATAGCTGCTCCTTCAAATTCGGTGACTCTATCATTGTTACGTCCTATTTATCATTTTTTCTCATTGCTGTCAATCTTTCTTTCCGTTTTATGTGTATCGTTGGTGCTCTTTCTTTTGTTTCTTTCATTCTTTTTTAAAGTCGGTGTTCTTGAAATAGTATAATGTTTTTTTTCAGGATCTTTGTGTAATTACCGTAGTTAGCATGTGTTTAAGAGGGGTGTCATATCGAGACCCCGTTTTACGGAGGGGGTCGTACCGAGACTCCCCGTTCTAGGGGGGGGGTCGTATCACAGTTGGGTTTTCCTCGACACGATTTTCACCTCTGCTCAGCGCAGCTCTCCTCTGCTTACTCACGGCTAGTGAGAGATGTGACTTTCAACACATGTGATGACCTTGAATCAGGTTACCTACTTGAGGAACACGTTGAAAACTGAATTCGCATTTGAGCAAACGTAACTTTCTTCAGAATAGGCAAATGTCCAATATGAAAGAAGATTTGGAAATTTCTCAATGGGTACTTTCCAAGAAGTGCTGATTTTTTCACAAATGGTGAGAATGTGCTTTTCAGTCATGAACGAGGAATTTTGAGAAGCGCATGCTTTGCACTTTGGAAAGTCATGTCTCCTTTCCAATACAATAATATCATCGTCCTCATGACTTCCGATCTGGCGGGCATCATGGTACAAACAAGCAGTTGTACTACATCGATAGAACTTGCTCCTACCTTTGACTCAATGAACACAATTGTACTGAACCACCACGAGGTATTTTATAAATGGGTGAATAAAACCCAAGTCTCGGCGCCCACCACCAATAATACTTAAAGCGAGAGATTACGATAAAGTGTGTATGCAGCGTGGAAGTACATGCACCACTGGAAGCAGTAGTCAGGGGCCCAAGGAAACGAAATGTTGCGCTTTGTAGCCAAAGGTGCGCTCCATTCCTTTCTGATTCACGGTCTGTGCTCCGCCCCCAGCAGCAGCGCCCTTCGATTGCCAATGTGACGAGATATTCCACTTCCAGAGTGTATCCTATAACTTTTTCATGGATGCGTGATCAATCAAAGCATGATGCTTGCTGAAATGATAGAGGCTATCAGCATAACATGTGCAAACGACCTCCTAATTGGTTGCTAGCTCGTCCATTATCGGAGGTCAACGGGCAAAGAAAGGGGTCCCATTTTGCGCCTTCTTGACGGATTTCTTTGCTTTTTTCGCCACTGGGGCATTATTCAGCATCTCCACTTCCACTATGAACCCAGTCCAAACTTATCGTAATCCCTCGCTTTAAATGTTTATCCGGTGTCATGAAGTAAAAAATTTGCTCTATCAAGTGATTGCTGACATGTTGATATAGCATGTCAAAATAGCCCTGATGAAGACTCTTGTCCAGAGCGCCGGATGTTTCCCTTCGTTCCATTGTCATTCCTTCAGGGATCATAACTTCTTTTAAAGATAATTTCGTTTGGAAGAAAAAGGAGTTCAGGATTACAAGCTTTCTGCTTTCTGACCAACAGATACGAAACAGGAACATATCGAGCGGTTGTCGCCGGATCGAATTGTAGGCGCCTAGGGTCTTAGTAAGGCACTTCGAGATGCAAAGTCGCCGCGACCCCTATAGTTACGCACCCAACACCTCCACCCACGCTAGCGACTTCAGAGGTGCTGCAGTAGTAAGTAGCAGGCAAGTAGCGTTGCTAACCACGCGCGCCATCCGGGGATCGACTCCTGGGTTGCCCAATCCAACCAAGCCTTCCATCCCTCCGGGGTCGGTTAATTGGTACCAGACTTGTCTGGGAGGATAAAAACACTGACTTGTACATCGGCTGGCCCCCGCAAGTCATTGTATAGGCCACATCGCATTCAAACGCCACTACGAATGTACAAATGGAAGTAGAATGCGTGCCGCATCCAAAAAGGGATTGATCAACGGCAAATGCTTTATCCTTTACTTATTGAATTCCTTTCTATCATTTCAAATGGTCCCTACCGAAAACCTCTTGATGCCCTTCAAACTACATCCCCATTGCTTGGGTTCATCGGCGATTAACTTGCGCTAAGTAAAGCCCGGTTGTTTTCTTTGTGTTCCTATTTCCCTAAATCGCTTTCTCTATTTCAAGTACCCTTTCCAGAGAAAATGTCTAAAATTGGGCGGCGTTACGCGTCGACTGAAAGTGACGATTTTTCGAACTCCTCAGTTAGCTAGCTTCTACTAGCTCTTATCGGACTCCCGATACATACTTTCTCATTCATTAGCGTACGTTACGAGTTATGTTTTGATCAAGAAATCAGGTCGAAATTGAGGACAGCAGCACTTCGACCTACCAACGTACAATATTTCACCAGTGAGTACTTTTCGTGGCCGAGTACGCGATTCTTGTATGCTTGGTCGTTCGTTGTGTAGAAAATTGTAGAAGTTGGTAGTCCTGAAAAAATCAGCGGTGAAAGCAGGGAAAAAGGTCCAGCACTCTGCAACGCAGCATCCACCACCGACCTTTCGCTTCTTCAACAAGATTCCGGCAGACAGCATCCGCCTTCACCAAAGTGTCCTTACTGACAGTATTGACCAGAAATTTAGGGTCGCAAAGCTGAAGCCGCACATGCTCGAGCAACTGCAAAGTAGAGTGTAATGGGACGCCGAACACGACAAGGAATACAGTCATCACCTGTGGCAATAATTGCTGCCGAGCCGGTAAATCGAACCTGACCCAGTCAACAACTGCCTCAAAAACCTGAAAGGACTTAATTATAGATGAGTATGCAAAGAAAAGAGCCCCAGCAGGGATGGGAGCTTGTGCAAATATTCAGCAAATACCTGTTCTTGTGACGGCACCTGAAGTTCTTCACTTGAAATCAGCTCAACTAATTGGTTACCAGGGAGCCGATAAAACTCGTCAGTGCCAATAACGTCCTGAGGAGATGAAAGGATATGATTTTCTCAATTTGAGTGAGGATTGACAAAGGAATAACCTTGAAGTTGTGCAGGATAAACTCGAAGCACAGCGTAGAAGCTCTTCACACGCATAAGTGTCGGCAAAAGCTCGAATTTTTAAGCAATTCGAAGCATTCAATTCTTTCTCCAAAAATTCACTGCACTGTTCCTGCAAAGAGAAAAACAGAAACCTTCACATTTTTTACTGTTCAATAATTGAACGAGGCAAAGAGTTTCAAAAGTCCGCAATCCTAACCTGAACTTCATTCAGCTGGAGCAAGCAAGCGGTGGGCAAAACACTCCATACATTGCTGCTGGTTATCTTTATCCTTCCGAGGTAGCAAAAATTGACAAGAGCTTCAAGCGCTGAGGCTTCCACATCTTTCAGTTCTATTTCTTCTATAAAAAGGATCTTGAACAATTACTGCAAAGACTACTCACACAAGAGTCGAACAAAGGGATAGAACTCATTGGAATATACTAAAACTCGAAGAAACATACTCAAGCGGCTTTCAGCCATGTCGTTTGTGAACATGGCTTCAAAATAACTCGTGCTTGCAGCAAGTACGACTCGATGGGCGCTTATCCGTGTTCCCTGAAATATCTCTCTCATGTCTATTGAACGGCCCACAGCGTTGGGTGAACTACCTCGGCGACCAGCGTCACGTCACACAGGCGAGAGTCCTCTCGAAGTTTCGCCAGCCGAGAAAGCAAAAGACGATTGTGGGCAGAACTCTAAAATTCAATAACGTTTGTTCATTGAGAATCCCAACTCTTGATGCGTTCGAAACCTAGGAGACTTCCCACGGTGCACGCTGGATTGAAACTGAGTGGCTAAGCAATCCCTATATAAAATCGGCTAAGTTTGTCTGTTGGTGTGCGTGTTTGACCAGAAATTCATAGCGGTGGCAGCAGCGGTCGTCAGGAGTTGATTTCAAGAAGAATAGAACGTGATAACAACTGATAAGGGCTGATGAGAGGCGCTAGAACGCAGGAGTCGCGAAACTCATAGCGCTGGCACCAGCGGTGAGATGTCCTAAATATTCCAGGAACAAGCGTGCTCCAAAATGACGGATACTTCCCACCTGAAGCCACAGTTAAATGCATTTTATATTTATACAGGGGTGGCCAAAAAAGAGACACTTTGCCCATGGCGCACATCATCAAACTTTTCGTCGCACAGGGTGCCGCTGTTGATGAAAGTTTTACGGCAAAATATTCCTTAGATGTCCTCCCATAAGTAGAAGCAGGCCCTCCTTCACTGCCCTCACCGTCTTCAGAATATGACGTCATCTGCCATCACCGTCGAGCTCAACGAGGCCTACCGTAATCGCTCCAGCCTGAAGCTGTTACACAATTTCCTCAATCGATAACTGGTGGATAGCCTCTTACCAGGAAGGTCTTTCAGGGCGTGACAAGCTTTTTGAAAACGGTCTTTTGCATGATATAGGGGCACATGCGGGAACCACAGAACCATGGTTAATTTTTCCTGAACGGCCCTCTGAATACCAGAAAAGGGGTCCCTAGTTCGATTCCTCGTGGTGACAAATTTTTGCATTTCGAGTTGACGTTCCAAAATTCGCGCAAAATGGAGTTAGCATGAACCAGCAGGGCACAACAGCATTGAGGCGTTGTTTTGCAGATATGATATAGAGGGTGGGACGGGAAATATTTGATAGGGACTGGAAAGTGCTAGCAGCTGATCGGGGCTTCTTCTCTTCTTTTTTCTTCCGAATGATGCGACTTGATGTAAAAGCATGGGGATTTTGATGAAAGTTTTTTGGTTGAAAAAAGCGACACTACTTATGAGCAACCTAATGATCAAACCAAAAAGGCTGGAAGTGCAACAAATTCGGCTGACTGACCTCTCGAGAACTAATAGAAGCCCATGGCAAGAGGAAGATTTCCCTTTCACGATTAATCTAGCATAGGCTTGAAGTACTGATCATGTTGGTTCAATGGTTTTTACCTGCTTCTCATTTTACCGATTTTGAAGAGACTTATGGCCGTTTGAAGTTGAAAACTCGCGTTTTGGGAGAATGGCCTTTAAAAACCACAGAGAAAAAAACGAAGCAACGGGACAGTTCTTTGAAAGAGTGGTAATGAAAAACAATCTTAATATTCTTCCGTCAGCCTTCTATTAGGATGGTAAGAAAGTCCTGAGCCGTTTGACACTTTTTTGTGCTTTACTTTTTTATTCCGCGTACAATGGAATTTACTCAACAATATAATCACCATTGTTACTCACTACAGAGTCCCACCTAATGGGCAGGTCAGCGATCCCTTCTCCCAGAACTGAGCAGACTGAGAGTCAAAGAAATCGCTGACCGCTCTTTCAACGTCTTCAACTTTGGTGAATTTTTTCTTCGCTAGGAATGCCTTAAGGGATGAAGTAAGTGATAATCAGAGAGGGCAATGTCAGGGGAATAGGGTGGGTGGGGAACCGCGTCCCAGATCAGCTCTTCCAATTTTGCACGGGTCTCTTTAGCTATGTGGGGCCTGGCGTCATCGTGGAGTAGGTGGACAGAAGTTCGTCTCGGTCGTTTTTCTCGAACAGCGTCCGCTAGTTTCTGGAGCTGACTGGCGTAAATGCTGCCGGTAGCGGTATGCCCTTGCGGGAGCAGCTCATAATACAGCATTCCTCACGAATCCCAGAGGTAGCAAAGAAGACAGCTTTTGGGGTGAAGGTCCGATTTTGCTTGTGTCGGCGGGTCTTCTCCTCGAGGGAGCCACACGGCACTGTGCTTGTTAGAATCGTAGAGGACCCAACTCTCATCTCTCGTAATCATGCCTTCCAAAAACTCCTTTCGGTGCGGACAAAGAAGGAGAAACTGACAAATGGGTACCCGCCTGAACCGCGTGCTATCGGTCAAGACATGAGGGATCCATCGAGTCGGCACTTTCCTGTGGCGAGGGCGTGGAGGGGACCGAGGACTGTGGGATGGGTGCACCCGAGTCTTATCACAAGGCTGCGGGTGCTAACCTCCGGATCCTCTTCGACAGCGCCGAGAACGGTGGAGTCTTCCACTGTTTGGGGGCTTCCCAACCTTGACTTGTCTTCGGAAGCCGTGTCTCCTCCTTCGAAGCCTGCGAACCAGAGCTTGGCACTGATGATGGAAGTGGTGTCCCTTCCCAATGCGATGCTGATAATGTTGACGGTTTCCACTGCTCCTGTGCCGCAGCGCCATTCATTGAAGATGATCGCTCGAAAGTGCTCTTGTGGAATCGACATCATGATTAAAGTTAAAGAAGGCAACCCGGCTATATACAGTGCGTTTCATAAGTATAGACGCACCCCAAAATCTTACACGAATAGTTTCAAACGGATCCATAGGGTAACATAATGGCACTAGTAGGAATCATCGGAGAAATAGTCTCAGTTACAATACGTCTCGTAGTTATGAGAAATTTTTTCGAGGTATATTAGGCATCGACCCTGTTGCCCAACGTTTCATAAGTATAGACGCACCTCTAAGACTCCTGAGTAATTTTTGTTTCTTAGTACTTCGAAAGATAGAAGAAAGAGTAGATTTAACCAATCCGCTGAGCAGTTATACGACCAGACGATTCCATTCCTGACTAATCACCACTCTGAGGTCGGTCACCTTAACAAAAGTCCCTCTGTGACGTTAAATATTGCAACCCAGGAGGCCTCAGATGTTTTTAATGAGATTGACATTGGGTGAACAAGCAGGCCAGTCCACAGTAGTTGCATTTCGCTCCTCTAGCCACGACCAAGTAGACCGCCTTCGATCACAGCGTTGTCCTGCTAAAAAACAAATTCTCCCTCGCCATACCCTGCCAAAAAAGGTAGCGAGTGAGGACTGAGCACGTCTTTGTTTTCCGTGGAGTCCATGTGGGTGGGAGTGAAAGCGATTTCTTGCGTCCCACATCGGTGAAATACATTCCAAATTGTGACGCATCATCCATCGAAATCACGCTTATTGGAAAACTTCGACACCTTGCACAGATCTCTCCATTAAAATGTATACCCGTCTAAACCGTTCAGGTTGAGCTTCTTCTCGTCGGAGAATATCAGTTGAGCAAGAAGTTTCGAATGGGAAGCTTTATAAGAAAGGGGTGTAATTGGGCCAGTTTGCTGCCATACTCCTCTTAGCAAATTGGAGCCGTGCCTCTTTGTGAGACGCGGTGAGACGGGGAGCTGGACGGAGACGACTTCGCACGACGTTGCTGTTGCCACTGAACGCCCTCCACACCGCCGTTTTGGAGGCAGGTGCCGCTAGGTTCGCTCGGACTTCATTGAGGCTGAGTCGAGAGTTCAAGACCAATCGTTCAATCTGACGTTCTGCTTGCGGAGGCAGCTTCCTTGGTCTACCTGATCCCTTTTTGCGACCGTAGGATTCCGTGTCACTTACGAGTTGATCGACGACCCTTGAGGAGCAACACAATTGGGGAGCAATTATGCGATTGCTCAGACATACCGTGTGCAGGGCGCGATCCTGAGCCTGCTCGGCAACTGGAAGCTGTGAGCCCCTGCTATTTAACGATATGATGCGTAGTACTTATGGCTAATTACTGCTTCCTTGAACGTTAACTTTCGCAGGCCAAGTGTTCAGTTTCATGGCGATTTCTAAAGTGCGTCTATACTTATGAAACGGTCCATTTGGTAACAAACCGTTGAAAAATACCCAATTTTTCTCCGATTCAAATAAAACCTGTCTCACAAAGGTTTTCCGGCACGCTGATTACGATATTAACAACCCTTTTTGTCACGGATATCGTTAAACTTTGATGACAGCTTTTTTGAGGGTGCGTCTATACTTATGAAACGCACTGTATACCTACTACGGAGAAGTATGATCGACAGCGATAATCTATCACGTAGCAGATTCTAGGTATCGATCAATAAGCGAAAGTTCTGGAGCTTTCAAAAAATCGGCTCAGGACTTTCTTACCATCCCAAGTTTCTAATAGCTTTGAAAATCTGCAAAAAGTTGATTATGAAGGAAGTTATGAATGTTTGAATGTCGAAAACTCGCGTGTGCACAAAAAACGGAACAACGGGACGATTTTTGAAATATTGAACATCGCAACATTTCAAATACTTTTTAGGAAGAAACAATTTGGAGTTTTTGAATTTTTGTATCCCATGAAGACGCTTTCGAAATAGCTGCGACCTTTTGAATGAAGAGGTTTGTATCGTAACGTAATTGCTGCAAGGTTCAGTTATTCAGTTTATAAAAAAGGAAGATTTGGAGTTCGAAAAAAACTTGGTTGTTTCTGAAAGTAGAAATCTCTGCGATTACTACCATGCCTAGGTTTACGCAAAAATTTGGAAATTGCTTCTATTTAATGAATAAAATTTCATGTTTTCTCGATCCCCGTTTCCTGAGCGAGACAAAGCGCGCGGACACACCACCAGGGTGAAAATCGTGTCGAGGACGTGGTCACATCAGTACGACCCCCCCCTCAGATCGGGGTCTGATACGACCCCTCTAACTTTGATTTGATGTGAATAAGCGAGTTCCATCAATGTACAGCAAAGCATTCAGTTGCAGCGCGGTTTATCCGTGGGTCAGATTTGCCGAAACCCCGCTCGAAACCGTCGAAATCTACACTCTCGATGAAAAGGTTCAAAAGTTCCATTCCACACTT